AGAGACTTCCTCAGTCTGAGGTGCTGTTTTCAGCTCAGTCTCTTAAATAGCACCTTCTCAGAGTGGATCAACCAGTTTGCTGCTGACAACCAGAACCAGCTGATCACATGCTCAAGAAGGACCATCAGCCTAACAATGGATCATTAGCACCTGATGGCTGTTTACTGTTCACAGAGGGCTGAGTGATACTAGCAATCACAGCATTGTAAGAGGGGGACAGTTGAACCTGGAGGCTCCGCCCCTGTTTAATGATGGACGGTTTCTTTTCACAAAGATGGCCTCCTTTACTCCTCTCTCAAACCATCGTTCCTCTCTGTCCAGGATGTGAACATCTTCATCCCTGAAAGAGTGACCTCTGACCTGGAGATGAGTGTAGACCTCAGAATCCTGGCCTGATGATGTTGATCTTCTGTGCTGGTCCATCCTTTTGGCCAGTGGCTGTTTAGTTTCCCGGATGTAAGACTGATCACCCTCCTGACACTGAACAACATACACAACATTACTCTGTTTGTGCCGGGGGACTGGATCTTTGGGATGAACCAGTCTTTAATATATTTTGTATTCAGAATCAGAATCAATTTATTATCGCCATGTCAATGAATGAGGTTAACAAACTAGGAATTTGCTTCGACATAAAGGTGCGAATAGTATTAAAGTAAAATAAAGTAAAAATGAAAACATAACATAACCATATGTACACCCATACAATAGAAAACAATAAAAAGCTTAGAGAACAGTACAGATGGAGTATTCAATTATAATACAGATGTAATGTGACCAAAGCAGAAATTATGAGGTAGCATTATGAGTGTTCAGGAGTCCAACAGCAGAGGGGAAGAAACTGTTCTTATGGCGGGAGGTTCTGGTCCGAATGGACCGAAGCCTCCTGCCTGAGGGGAGTGGTTCAAACAGTCTGTGTGCAGGGTGAGCAGGGTCAGCTGTGATCCGACCTGCTCGCCTCACAGTCCTGGAGACGTACAGGTCGTGGAGGGATGGAAGGCTGCAGCCGATCACCTTCTCAGCTGAGCGCACAACGCGCTGCGGTCTGAGTCTGTCCCTGGCAGTGGCCCCGGCGTACCACACCGTGATGGAGGAGCTGAGGATGGACTCCATGATGGCCGTGTAGAACTGCACCATCAGCTTGGCCGGCAGCTTGGCCTTCTTCAGCTGTCGCAGGAAGTACAGTCTCTGCTGGGCCTTCTTGATGAGGGAGCTGATGGTCGGCTCCCACTTGAGGTCCTGGGTGATGGTGGTGCCGAGGAACCGATAAGGGTTTGCAGTGGTGATGGGGGTATCATTACAGGTGAGGGGGGGCAGAGGGGCTGTGGCTTTCCTGAAATCCACAATCATCTCCACTGTCTTCTGGGCATTGAGTTCCAGGTTGTTGCTGCTGCACCAGGTCACCAGCCGGTCCACCTCCCTCCTGTATGCAGACTCATCACCGTCCGAGATGAGCCCGATGAGGGTGGTGTCATCTGCAAACTTAATAAGTTTCACAGAGTCATGGCTGGAGGTGCAGCAGTTGGTGTACAGGGAGAAAAGCAGGGGGGAAAGCACACAGCCCTGTGGAGATCCTGTGCTTATAGTCCGAGTGTCCGAGACAGCTCTCCCCAGCCGCACGCACTGACTCCGGTCTGTCAGGAAGTCTGTGATCCACCTGCAGGTGGAGTCAGGTACATGGAGCAGGGAGAGCTTGTCTTGGAGCAGCGCAGAGGATGGGGTTAAATGTGGAGCTGAAGTCCACGAACAGGATCCTGGCGTAGGTTCCTGGGGAGTCCAGGTGCTGCAGGATGAAGTGAAGAGCCAGGTTTATTGTGTCATCTACAGACCTGTTGGCCCTGTAGGCAAACTGCAGGGGGTCCAGGAGGGGGTTGGTGATGGACTTGAGGTGAGATGAAACCAAGCGTTCAAAGGTTTTCATGACTACAGACGTGAGAGCTACAGGTCTGTAGTCATTTGGTCCTGTGACACGTGGCTTCTTGGGGACAGGGACGATGATGGAGGACTTGAAACAGGCTGGGACGTGGCATGACTCCAGAGAAGAGTTGAAGATCCCTGTGAAGACCGGAGCCAACTCTCCAGCACAATGTCTCAGCGTGGAGGGTGACACAAGGTCTGGGCCTGCAGCCTTATACGTATTCAGCCTTTTAAAAAAGCCTCCTTACTTCATCCTCTTGTACAGAGATAGCAGGGGGTTGTCGGGGGCAGTCCCAAGTGGTTAAACCAGTTGGGCTGGGGGTGGTGTGGAGGATGGAGGAATGTGAGTCCATGGCTTCAAAGCGTGAATAGAAGTCGTTCAGATCGTTTGCCAGTTTGAGATTGTCTGTAGAATGAGGTGCTCTGGGCTTGTAGTTAGTTATTTCTTTCAGCCCCTCCAGACAGAGGCAGAGTCGTTTGCAGAGAACTGTTGTTGCAGCCGTGCGTTGTACCTGGATTTAACCTTCGACACCTCCCTGCTGAATCCATACTTCGCACGTCTGTAGTTGTCTCTGTCCCCCTCTCTGAAAGCAGCCTCCTTCTGCTGACGAAGCTGTCTTAGTTTGGATGTGAACCAGGGTTTATCATTATTGAAAATGACTCTGGAGCGTGATGGGATGATGCTGTCCTCACAGAAATGTATATATGACGTCACAGTGTTTGTGTATTCGTCTAGACTGTCTGTAGAAGCCCTGAACAGGTCCCAGTCTGTGGTGTCCAAACACGTGCGTAGCTCCTCCACAGCTTCACTGGTCCACTTTTTGGATGTCCTCACCACAGGTTTTGGGAGCTTCAGTCTCTGTCTGTATGCAGGTATGAGGTGAATCATCTCATGATCTGAGAGACCCAGGGCAGCACGAGGCACAGCGCGATAAGCACCGCTCACTGTGGTGTAACAGTGATCCAGCGTGTTTCCTTCTCTGGTCGGGCATTTAATAAACTGTTTATATTTAGGTAGTTCATGCCTGAGGTTTGCTTTGTTAAAATCTCCAAGGATGATAACAAGGGAGTCCGGAAAAGTCCGCTCTACACTCGTGATCTGGTCCGCGAGCGCGCGCTCAGCCTCGTGCACGTCCGCGCAGGGTGGGATGTAAACAGCGGCCAGAATAAATGAAGTAAACTCACGTGGAGAGTAGAACGGTTTGCAGTTTATGAAGAGATATTCCAGAGAAGGAGAGCAGTGCTGGGAGATCACTGTCACGTCGGAGCACCAGGCGTTGTTGATAAAGAAACAGACTCCTCCGCCTTTCTTCTTTCCTCCGGAAAGTTCCCGCTGTCTGTCAGAGCGGAGGAGCTGGAAACCCTCGAGATGGAGTGCGGAGTCCAGGGTCTGCTCGTTGAGCCATGTCTCCGTGAAGCACAGCACACAGGAGGAGGAAAAATCGCTGTTCCTTCTCATCATCAGCGCTATCTCGTCCATTTTATTGTAGAGGGAACGGATGTTGGAGAAGAATATCCCAGGTAAAGGCATGCGTGTACCACGCCTCCGGAGACGCATGAGCGCTCCGGCTCTTCTGCCCCTCCTGCGAAGTCTCGCTCTTTTGGCTAAAAAGTGCACAAGTTCTGCAGCAGGCACTAAAAAAACTGGTGTAATATCCGCATAGGTTGTAGTTCCGATGTTTAGTAGCTTCTCGCAAGTGTAGGAGCATGCAGACACATGATTAACGCACAAAATCAGAAAAAATAGAGCGCACCAGAATGCCAAGGCGACCGTACATGGCGCCATCTTGGATTCTTGGATATTATACAGTATCTCCCACTTCCTGCCACTATCCCCAGCCTCAGACTCTCCGTGATCAACTGGTCTCTTGTTTACCAGTTCTAGTTTCAGTTTATCAGTTCTACACAGTTGTTGTTTCTTTTCCACCTTTATTCATCCAGGTTGGGCTTATTTACAGAGAGACCTATCTCACTTTCCTCAGACAAAAAAATGGTAAACTGATTTCCACGTTTGGAGGAGAATTTCTTATCTATGACAGGGAAAGTATTTGAAACAGGTATTAGTTTAATGGTTTACAACCGATTTGTAGTCTACACATGTAATCCTACACCTTTCTGCCTGGTTACATCCAAGTCCAGATGAACATTTGAAGGCTTATAGAAACAACTTAAGGTCTATAACATGCCCTCCAGCCCCAGTTTTTAGATCTAAGTTTTGAATTTAGCCCACTAGAAACAATGTTTCAGTGTAGAATTACAACAAATCCATTTATCAAACAACATGTTCAGTTTGTCTGTGTGTGTTAATAAATAAAGTCAGTGTTTGTTAATAAATAAAGTCAGAGTGTGTGTTAATAAATAAAGTCAGTGTTTGTTAATAAATAAAGTCAGAGTGTTTGTTAATAAATAAAGTCAGTGTTTGTTAATAAATAAAGTCAGTGTTTGTTAATAAATAAAGTCAGAGTGTTTGTTAATAAATAAAGTCAGAGTTTGTTAATAAATAAAGTCAGAGTGTTTGTTAATAAATAAAGTCAGTGTTTGTTAATAAAGTCAGAGTGTTTGTTAATAAATAAAGTCAGTGTTTGTTAATAAATAAAGTCAGAGTGTTTGTTAATAAATAAAGTCAGAGTTTATTAATAAATAAAGTCAGAGTGTTTGTTAATAAATAAAGTCAGTGTTTATTAATAAATAAAGTTAGAGTGTGTTAATAAATAAAGTCAGTGTTTGTTAATAAATAAAGTCAGTGTTTGTTAATGAATAAAGTCAGAGTTTTGTTAATAAATAAAGTCAGAGT